TAAGATCAGGGTTCTTATTGGAAATCATAGTCTGGATGTTATTGAGGAGAAGATAACAGGTTTGGCCTGAAACTTGATTAAGCCTGATTTGATTTGAAAGGTTTAAAAGTGGCATTGTAATAATTTGGTTAGTATAAACCTGTTAGAATTTGATGTATTGTTTACAAGCAAAGATTATTGGCTTGAAAAGTATAAAGGTATTGATATTATGTTCTTACTTGTTCATATATTTGTGATATATATGAAAAGTTGTTCTACTTAAAAGTTTTGGTGATTTTCACCCTGCAATAACATAAATAGGGTAACTCACTATGCCTTTTGGTCTAACCCTCGTTTTGTGATTTTAAATATGTATTGCAGGAAGTGCTGACAGTAAGGGGAAGGGAAAAATGTAATATTTTCCCTATGTGATTATCTGCGTGAAGATTTATTGACAGCATGTATAGTTTTGATAGATAAAACTGGATTAGTGCAAGAATTGTATTTGGAATTTTTGGACCATGTATTTTGTACTGGTAGATTTTTGTACTAAGGGACCAATGTGGTGTATAAACATGTATTTCTTATGTATGAAGTATGTGTTACATGCAATGTGTGATATGAGGTGTTACAGAAAGTGGTATCAGAGCTTGAGTTTAAGGGATTTAGGTATTCAACAACATGATACCTAGACTTAAACTATTTTATTGCATGTTAAGGGTCCCAGACATAGTTAGTACCATTGGAAAATAAATATGATGGGTTGAAAGAACAGTGTGTAAGGTAAATTTTAATTACATCTGGCTAGTGTAATTATGAATTTACAGGTACATATCTGAACTTGAGTACTTCATAATATTTGGGAATGTGAATTCGTGATTATTAACACTAAAATATACAGATGTCTAGCCGAACTCGAAGATCTGAAAAAACAGTTCGTCCAGAATCTGAGGAAAGGGAAGAATCACCCGTTAACCTTCCGACTAGCACATACGGAAATAGAGGTCGGGGAAGACCAATAGGTCGAGGTAGAGGGAGAAGTCAAAAGGAAGGGGTCGTACCGAAGTTCATTCTGAACATGAAGAATCCCATTCTGGGAATGTTCAGGAAAGATCAGTGCCACACCCAGAATATGTGACCAGGGATATGTTGGTAGAGGAAATGAGAAAGTTACGAGAAACTCTGACATCCATTATGGGAATACCAACTAGGGTGGAAACCGAGAGAATAGAAGTTCATCCCTCTGTACCGGTTACTCACAATAAGGAGGGAGATATCAAAATGTTTTTGGCATGCAAGCCACCAACATTTTCTGGAGAAAGGGATCCGGTTAAAGCTATGTGCTGGATCAAGGAAATGAAATATGTGTTCAACACCATTCGGTGTCCGAAGACAAATAAAGTTCGATTCGCAGTCTCAATATTGAAATTAAATGCTTTGTTCTGTTGGGAAGTTGAATCATTGGCTAGAACGGATGTTTTATAGGCGTTATCCTAGACAGAATTTGTAGAACGATTCAAGAATCAGTTTTGTCCTAAGACGGCAGTGAGACAAATGGAAGAAGATTTCTTGAAGTTGGAGCAGGAAAATGGAACAGTTCAGGAGTATACTGAGAAATTCATTGAATACTCTCGATTTGCCAAACACTATGTTTTATCTGAATCCAGGAAGATAGAAAGGTATATCTGGGGTTTGAAACCCTCAATCTGAGAATTTGTAATTGCTATGAAACCCAATACCTTTTCATTGACGGTAGATGCGGCTGAAGTGACAGAACGAAATAAGAATCGGCAATCAGAAGGAAAGGTTGTGGAAAAGAGAAGATGGGAAGGGCCTTCGTCTAATTTTCGAGGGCCAAAAGCAGTAAGATATGATAACAAATCTGAGTAGAAGATAGGTGAGAAAGTCTGCTCACAATGTCAACAGGTTCATCAGGGTGAGTGCAAGATGGACCCAAAGAAGTGTTATAAGTGTGGTGAAGCAGGCCATCTGTCCAGAAGTTGCCCAGCTAACCGAAGATGTTTCAATTGTAATTCTCCGGACCATATACGACCAAATTGCCCGTTATTGAGAACTCCACAACTGACAATGGGAAGTAATGCATCAGGTACTCGGGGAAGACCTACTGTGAATAGAGGAGGGCAAGGAGGGGCACGAGGACGGTCCTTCCATATGACAAAGAATGAGGTAGAGGTGTCACCAGATGTAGTAACAGATACCTTCCTTCTGAATTCTATACATGCTAAGGTGTTATTTGACTCTGGTTCAAACTTTTCGTTTGTATCACCATCGTTTGCTCAAACTGCATGCTTGAATTATGTGTTACTTGATGACGAATTAGTAGTT